GACGAGAAGAAAGAGGTCTTAAGAGCTGACCTAGAACGAAACGTGAGCCTGTGTCTTCACAACAGCTTTTGCAGGAACCGGGAGCAGAAGGTGAATGTGGACTTGCTACCTTGTTGCAAACCGAGGCTGTTGGAACAGGAGGGTTGGGGCACGGCCCGCAACTCTCTGGACATGTTAGAGAAAGTTCTGGAAGACAGTGACGCTGAACATCAGGATGGAGAAATGATGGAGTGAAGATGACCAAAGAAGAGAAGAGAAGGAGAGAAAAACTTGATTGTATTTGTGTGCTAAAACTTAAACCAATCAACCAAGTTTTGATTATTGAACTTGTTAAACTTTTTGTTTTGATCTAGTTTGGTCAGACCAAACTTTGAAAATGTTGCAATTGTTAAAATTGTTGAAATTGTTGATTTTAGTTACTACTATCTATGTATGTATATAAGGAACATAGGTGAGTATATTTACCTATTTATTCACGACTGAAGTTTTTAACCTGTGTAAGACACAAATTCACTGTGTGGCGACATGGTAAGTTTGAGTAAACTCGCTCGGGAAGGGTGGGTAACTCAATAACTTTCCTAGCCACAGAGTTTCTTAGTTTTAATATGGAAAGGACCGCATAAATGACTGATTATACTTGGTGAGTAGTGTTAAGTTAATTTTAACGGGTGCGTGGCCGTGCCACGTCCCACTTTTTAATCACAAAGAGCGAAAAGAAGTTTTATGGCAAGACAACGTAAGTAGTCAGAAAAGAAATTTTATCTAGGACACTCCTCATGGTGCAAATTTTGTGAAAATGTTGAAAGGCAGTGAGATGTAGTACGATGCCATTTGTGAACACGTAGTGAGTTGAGGTGGAGTAGATAAATTTCATTTTCTTATGCGATTTGTAAGATTGATTACAGAAAACTGGATAACTACTTGACGATAACCCGGTGATATGCGATCAATAGGGACATTGATGGAGACTTGTCCGGGGAGTATGTGCCATTCTGCCAGATGACACAGCACAACCTTCCGGCGACATAAAAAAGAGTGACTAAAGGCCTTATGAACAAAAAAGTGTTGCGATGGAGGGTCAGAATGTTCTAGAAATTTTATTTTTAAAATTTCGATTGGAAGAAGAACATTTCTGAGAAATAGAAAAAAGACGGCCATTTTGAATAAAAAAGATGAAAATCAGAACCACGATAGAGATTGTAAAGAACAGTCGTGCAAGAAAATTACGAAGCCTCTTATCGTGGCAATAACACACGATAAGGACCTTAGTGACAGATATTTGTGGAGACGGAGGCTTCAGTGGGGGGAAGAGAAATACCACGGAACCCTCCCGGGACACGAAATATAGGAGATAAGAGTGTTATCTCAAGAAAATCACGGGAGCGGAGGCTTGGTCCCCCAGAGACTGTTATATGTGAAGGGACTGGGTAAACTAACTTCAACAGCTGCTGTAATGTCCTAGATCTTAATTAACACCGTTATTATTTAATATTTCAGAGCATGAGTAGATAGAAAAAAGGAAAGGGTCAATCCATCTCCAATGGATTTAATATAAAACTGTCACACAAAAACATATAAAAATAGGTTGTTCGAGCCGTGTTTTTAATGACAATCACGTAGTCTGAGGATCCGAGACTCAGCTATGTGGTTGTGTTCGCATGTAAACGAAAGCTGATCAAAAGTCGTTTGACTGATGGCCTAAAAATGGTAACTTTTTACTTTGCCCTAGACAGACCAGAAAATCAACTGGCAAGGTCGAGACGGTGAAAAACGAGTAGAATTAAGGTAACTGACGCCTGCCAGTCGTTAATAGGTACTTTTTCTACGCTCCGTCGCTGTGTGATATTTGGGCGAATGTTACAAATCTTGACCTCGTCGTAGCACCAGAAATTTAATTTGAAAAAGTTTATTTAATAAGTTTAGCTACATATTACCTACAACAACTACACTTAGTCTACAACTGACATTTGATACTTTGAAACTTAAACTATTGATACTTTTCATGTTTTTATACATGTATTATTTTCTTTTCAAAAGACTTGAATTTACACTTCTTCGAATTTTCTAGATATGGAAGTGATAATGATGAAAGAAGATGATATGTGTTGATGTCCTGACGATTAAAATCGATACGGGTTACGTTTCTTCAATAAGATTACGCAACTCGACAGGAGAAAATATAATATACAATTGTTACAAAATAAAAAATTTCGTCGAAAGTTATTTTGTCATTTATTGATCCGAGTACGCAAGCGGCGTTCGCAATCTGTATTGCCAGGGAGATCCTCTGTTTTAAAAGTTGCCTTCCCGCGGCCACTCAGTGCATATGCTTAGGTTCTTACAAATTTTGCTCAAAAAAAATTCTGTGCTTGGCCGGCCGCGCCCTGAATCTCAAAAGCTAGCGGTTGAAAAAGATACCCATCATCTACTAGATCTTTATACTTGTCATTTTTTCGCTCTTCCGGTTCAGCGGCAGCCGTACCAGGGTTACAAACTGACTGGGCACTAATCATTTTAAGAGCTAAGGAGTCTACCACAGTTACATCCCACAAGAGCTGCCCATTTGGTCAGTTGGCTACGTTATGAATTAAATGGTTACTTTGGACTACTGGCAATTTTTTTGTTCTTGTATAAGGTTTTCATCGTGAAAACGATTCTAAACAAGTAGTAAACTATCTTTTCTCAAGAAATTTTTGCTAAAAAGTAAATTTCAAACGTTTTCGCAACTATGTGCATCGTCAGGATTTTTACAATAAACTACTCTAAATGACGATAAAACATCAATTTACAAATGTTATTTACAATAAATCACATACAATTTGGTTCTAAACCATCATGATAAAAAATTAGCCAAATTTGGTTCTATTTATTGAGAAATTATCTTTTCTCAATAAATAGCTTTTGTGTAGCTATATGCACTGCTAATTCCTGCAGTGCATATAGCTAAACAAAAGCTATATAATTAAATAATAGAATACATAGCTTAAAAAATCAATTCCTGCAATATTGATTATTGACGTATTTATATAATCCTCGTATGGACCCTATCCAGCTTGTGCACGACCGTACCTTAAAGAAAGGGTCCCTTTTATAGTTTACATTTTTCGCTTAGCAGCTTAGGCTCAGTGTAGAAGTTTTTGCCAGACTGGTTCACACTGAGATGCTTTGTTTTGTTTTGCACGTTTTTTCGAAGTGAAATGCCAATAAGCGTGAAGAAAGACTGGAGACTTATTTTTTTTGTGCACGAGATTCTAGTGCAACAATTTTCAATACTTGAAATTAGAAGACTTACTTCTTCTGCCAACTAGTAATCATTGCAGAAGCAGTAATCATTTTAGTTGTGCGTTATATAAGTGCGTTATATAAAATTAAGCGCGCGCGGATCTTGACAACTACTACTACCCCCCCCCCCCCCGCCGCCGCAATGGTCAATGGTATCTTGTTAAGAATTGCCACCCCTGCGAATAAATAATTCAATGGTTAAGAATATGCGGGTTTTGTCCCTTGTAAGCGTTTCCTTTCTCTTACAAAAGCTAATGGGGAGGAGTAGTTAACAAGATCCTTAATTTGCAAAAAATACTTGTCTCAGTTTAATGTAATAAATTGAGAACGGCTTTATTGCACTAACTAATTATAGCAACCCATTAAAAATCCAAATCTATTGGGGGCTTTCTTTGGGAGTAATACTACGCCTGAATAGTTGCTTCCCTTTTTTGTTAGTAATTTTGTCACGAATACGGTTGACCAAATTTTGGAGCATCTTTTGGAGAACTTTATACGCTGCCCCTTGACGAGTAAACTACAACAACAATAACTTAAAGTTTTTGAGCATCTGAAAGTTATTATTATCATTAGGGACCACAGCAAGCTTGAGGGACCAAGCAAGTTTACTAGCACCCAACTAGCTTCTATTGCATAGATCTCATGCACTCGAAATTATGTACGAGTAGCTATACGCAACGTTCCGCACTGCAGTGGCCCAAAGCTCTCGTGCTGACGCGCTCGAAACGAAGTATTTCCATTCGTAACTCCATTCAAGGTCAAACAGTGCACTAGATATATTTTGTGGTTTTGAAGGCATTTATTAGGTAAGAGTTTCGCAACTGCTTTTTTTTCGCGCACGAGGCAATTAAGTCACCATTAGAGGGCCGCCATGCCCGAGGATAGTGAATTAATTTGCCGAGTGCGTGAAAAAACAAAAGCAAAAATTGCTGTAGTCAACGAAAAAAAATTTTTGTCTTCATGCTTGTTTTTCACGTGCTAAAACAGTTGTTTTCTCATTTGAAAACATGTTTCTTTTCAAACTACCTCTACAGCTTACCTACGAGAATTTTTTCCACGTCGATTGAAAGCACGCTGCAGGTTAACTAGTTTTAATCATATAGCAAATTGCACGTACTGATCTTTTCATGAACTGCGTATGAACGCACGCAAGTTGACTAGTAAAGTTTAGATAAAAGTCCATGGGCAAACGAGAATAACGTTCTTGGTCACGAGTAAGGTTCATTCATAGTTAATGCACCATTGTTTACTGTAGTCATGAGTGTTTGAAAATTAATAGTTTCTAACTTCAAGTGATGTAATATCCTGAACCATAAATCATGTTACAGTCGCATATTTCTTATGCAAGGCGAAGATTACAAATTTGTTTGTGCAAAATTTTGATGATATGCAATAAAAAAGCTTTTCGGTTTATTTTTTTTACTATTGCTTTTGTATTGCTGATCAATTTATGCATATGGATTGGTAAGAATATTGAATTTGAACCAAACATGACACTAAAATTTCATGATAGCATAAAGCGTTTTCTAGGTATCGTTCAAGCGCTGGGAAATCGCGCACTTTACCGAGACCTAAATATTGAACCGCCTGTTATGACAAAAAGGTAATATCTCCGATTGGAGTTGGAGGTTTTGCATCTATTCAATGTTAATTTCTTTTCCCGTGCTGAAACTAAAACCAATTTTGAATAATTATAGTTTTTGTCGCATTTCAGACTTGTGAGTGATTGCCAAAGCGAGTACAACGCTTACTCTGTTCATCCGGAGGGATATTTATTCCATAGAAATGAAACCGATGTCTTGTGTCATCGAGCTTTCATCGAACCCAGAAACGCATGCCAATTCATCTTCGATAAGTTATCACGAGAGAGAAATCAGTGTACTGCGAAACGCAACACGTTTTGCAAGACGGTAAAAGACGAGAATGCGATTGTGAGTTATGACTGTACATTCGCTAAGCAAAGATGTCTAGTAGCTGAAATTGGTTGGTTGCACCAGAAAAATGGAAGTGTGAAGTTCACGAGGGTTGATCCGGAACATCTAGCGGGTGAACTCGCAGACTTGCACGCGAGTAGAAACTACGACTTTGCTTTTGTCAGATGCGTGTTACAGGGTTATGGAAGGTCAGTCGCTTTTTTATAAGTTCCAACTCTTAAGTTAGCTGAACTTCATTTAAACGGTTTTGCTCGTGTTAGACTTCTAAGGTTGAATATTCTGACATTTAATTGCCACGTTCGTCGAAGCGTTAATTTTTCCAAGCGGAATCTTTGAAAAGTAGACTCTATAGCGACTTATCTATAATGCACATTGATTTCTGCATGTATTTACTATTTAAGCAAATGTGGTACTCATTATTAGTGAGGCGTAGTTGTTAAAAGCGGCATTTTGAAAAATAGCCACAGACAGTTCGAAAAGAGTCAACGAACTCAAGGAAACAGAAAAAAATACTGGCTTATTTTTTGAAAAAACTTTAACTGTCGACAAAAAAGCGCTTCAAGCTCTTTGATTTTCAAGAAAAATTTTTGATGGTCACTTTTTGCTAAAATTAACCCAATTTGAAAAACTTGAACAATAGGCAAAGATTTTATTCCGCTGAAAAATTTGACCTTTATTTGTGACTTTTACGTTTTTGCTGTTTGAAAGAGGAATTTGCCTTCATTTTCACAAAGGAATTTAGGTATTGTTTTGTCCTTCTAGAGAGATTTATTGATTTTACTTTTGATGTACCATTTCACCCGAAAGCAATGAATTTAGCCTCATGTCTTAAATGAAATAATGATTTACTTGGTTACCCTTACAATGGGTTGTATTTTGTATTGGATGTGGTGCTAGACTGCCTCACGTTTGTAATAGAATAGTGTATGTAGAATATATATTTTTTGAATAAGTATTTATTCGTTTAACTGAGGAAAGAAATTGTTCGATAACTTTCTTTTGGCAATATTTTTCAATTTTTGTTTAGATACGTTTCAACCGAATCGGTTTCAAAGTTCTACGATAAGAGATGGCACAAGTATGTTCATTTTAATCTAATATTTCTTAATGAAAATGAAAAGCGGGTTGCTACGTAAGTAGCACAGAATGTCTGGGCAAAGTTGTTTTGGCGCATGGTTGCCTCGGCAAAAAATTCAAAAAAATTTCAATTTTCAAGCTGCCATTATTTTTAAATTGTCTGATGTCCAAATGAAGAAGATTTCAAACTTGTTGTCTTGACGCTGGAAAGCTTGGAATTTTTTTCAGCATCTCAAATATTAACTGAGAAGTTTTTCATTAAGTGTTAATTAACGAACTGAATTTTTACGCAGGTAGATTCAATTCCATAAAAAAGTTTTATTAGTTTTGACGTGCGATTTCATGTTTTGGGGGGTTGAAGTTTGATTTAGTTATCTTTCAAACTCATTTAACAGATGGAAGGCAAACTAAGCTCTCCCATAACAAAAATAGAAATGAAGCAAAAAAAAAACAGAGCTTGACTTATGTTTCAAAAGTGGATTTTTTATCTTTAGTTCTCCTATTGCACAAAAATGTTTATAACTCCAATTCTCTTGAATTGGGTAAATTTTCAGTAAGTGTAGAAGAAAGAAGTAATTTTCATTTGTATAGGTCTTGTTAAATTGTTGTTTTTTTTTTCAAATGCTCTAATAACTACGAAATCCAGTCATACATCAGGGTGGCCACGGTATCAGTGCGGTCAGTGTCAAATCAGTGCGAAGTGTGATCTGTCAGTGCCAGCAAATAAATATCAGTGCCACCATTTTTTTCATCGCGCTTCTTTACTGAATCGTTCGAAATCAAAAATCTAAGCAGGCTTACACAATATAGTATAAGTTTTTTTTCAGTTAGTATGAGCATCTCTCAGAAACATAAAAAATTATTTGGGTCAAAAAAGTTGCATGAAAAAAAGTTGGGCCAATAAAGAAGTTGGGTCAAAAAAGACTTTTCCACTTCCTGGCATTTATCTTCATCAGTGCCTGTGGTTTCTCAGACACTGTGGCCACCCTGTACATATTAATGCGTATGGGCACTTTTAAGGTATGTATGCCTTTTTTGAGTTCAATTCAATGTTGATTGCTGAAAAGTAGGCAAATAGTGCTCTCCAATTGTAAAATTACAAATGCCGCAAAAAATGTAATTGATTTTTGGTTTTTAAAAAAGTTAATGGGAGTTAGTATAGTTAAAATCCACGTTCGAAAATTGAAATCCATCACATTTTTTGCGCTTTTTTCAGTTTCCGCATATCGCAATTGGATGCAAATACTTCAATTGGATGCATAATGAAAATCAATTTTGTTTCAGACGCGTTACTATGTTTTTCAATTTCTTTGTTTTTCTCCGGCTAATTAGTTTTCTCGGAAGTTTTTTCTTAGAACAGATGTTGGTTCTTGAGAATTGTTTGTGGTTAAAACGTTGAAGATTTACCGAAAACTGGATTACAGCATTAAAGCAAGATGTTTTTCTCAATCATTCTTTGATTTTTTTTGGCCATGAATGTATCTATGATTTATCTTTTGGTGTACAGTTTTTCAAACGTGAACTGGACCAAAGGATGGAGTTTTCAAAACCTAGCTTGATTTTGAAATAATGCTTTTATTGATTTTGAAATAATTTTGAACAAAAAATTGATAGTTTAATTGATCGAGTAAATCGGTTTCAACGAATATTGATCACTCTCAAATTCAAATTTCCGCGGTTTGTCGTTTGAATTCTTTTTAAGTTCAATTTATTGATGATTTTAAAGGTTTGAAAGTAAAGCTCGAAATACGAAGTGGAAATTTCAGATTTTCTAGTGAAATAGAAAAAATATCTAACGATTCAATCTAAAAATGTTCTTGAAATTTGATAGCTTCAACGTGGTATTTTTTCTCCGAAATTTAAAAATATGTTCAAATGTCATGTTTTTTTTCGGTATACTTGTTCATCGACACTTTTCCAAGTCTCTGATCGCCAAATTCTACTCTAGGTTGCCACTAGCGTGGACTGCGCCAGATACATTTAAGAAGTATCAATGTTTGAAGCAAAATTTTGACATCCGACATTCAACATTGATAAATTGTTAAATGTTATAGAAAAAGCTTAATTTTGGAGTTTCGCTAATTTTTTTTTTCTTTTATGCAGGTAGATTTTCTTAATTAAATTTTTCTCGGCAGTTTGACTTGATCATCAAAATTCAGTCAAAAATTTTTTCAACGTTTGGAAAGCAAGTTATGATCTCCAATTTTAAATTGCAAATATGGCAAAAACAGGCACTTTTGAGTTTCACAAAATAATTCAAGTATTTTTTTCCAAGGACAATAATTAGGTTGCTTATTGATCCAATTTCATAGTTCATATAAAAGTTCGTTTTGGTCCGACCATTGAAAATCGGGAGGAACTTTGTATTCGGGTGTGTTTTATTTTTTTTTGTTTTCCACCCAAAATCAGGTACCAAAAATAATCATCGGACTGGGTTGAGCGATATATCATGACAAAGCCCTTTTAGTCATGGTTCGAGCGACATAAAAGAATTTTGAAAATCATTTCACAGTATCGAGAAAAACAGGTTTGAAATTTTCGTCTTAAGTTCGAGCGAGTAAAGCGACTGGGCACGCTTATTTTTGCTTAAGTTAGGCCGTTTACAATAGCTTATTTATGCTTAATTTTAACTTTTACTCGAGTTAAGTTAGTGTTTGAAGATTTCTATTTTCATTTTGGGAATCAAAAATTTGCAAAAAAAAAATTTTTTAAATGATTTTTTTTTGTTTCTCTTTGTTTTCTTCAAAAAGTTATTTTCTATGACTGTCGAATATGCCTAAATTATAGTTTAATGTCAGATCCTTTTATCACACCACACAGAAAAAACTACACTAATTTCAAAAAAAAAACTTTTTTTCTTGTTGTTTTTTAAGACTATGGTCGGAAAGTTCTGTGCTGCTTGTTTTGTTTTGGTTTTTAATTTTTTATCTCAGTTCAAAAAAACACACTTTTAACAAATTTTGGGCTCTTCCATTTTCTGTAATAGAATATTGTTCTATGCCTCTATCAACATTCAGCTGCCTTCTGCGTTTTATTTTGGTTTTATTGGCAATTTTTTTCCAAAATTGGCATTTTGTGTCCAGTGGCATTGAAAAAAGTAGGAAACGTTGACTCAAGTTATGTTAAATTAACAAGTAGTTGATCTAATTTTCAGCAGATGTTTACCGAATAAATTTTTTTCTGAATAAATTTTTCCCCTATGTGTACCGAATAAAATTAGAGCCATAACTTTCAACTGAGCTTGAAGTCTAGGAGCTTAAAATACAACCGAAATCAAAAGTTGGGTTTAGGAGCTCGGCAGTTTTAGCAATTTGGTTTTGCTCTCGTTAAAACTTTTAAAAAGCGAATTTTGATTGTATTCAACTATTAAATGTAAAAAATATAAGGAGAAAAATATGTATTATTTAAAGGCTATGATCAAAATTAATTTTCACTTACAAAGGTTGTATATTTATATATTTTTTCAGGAGTATTGTTAACGTAAAGTTTAAGCTCTGGCGGGTTCAACTTAGGTTTTTTTTTTTGTTTACTTCAGGTTAAATTGCTTAATGGAAGGCAAAGTACGGTCTCCAATAACAAATATTCAAATGGCGAGAAAAAAGCGTATGGCCACTAATTTCCAAAATAGATTTAAGTTTAAGATTTCCGAGCAAAATCAGTAATAAATCGATCGATTCATTTACCTCATCTTAGATTAACTTTATCACAATGTGTAAATCATAAAAGATACTGGAAATTCAAAGAGCTTTAAGGAAATTCAAAGAGCTTTAAGAAAGTCATTTTTTTTGTTCATGACTTTGTTCAAAGAAGCACCAATCATAAAGGATTCTTCAAAATAAAATTAATTTACGGTATTTTTTTTCGGAATCAGAGTTTCATTTAGAAAATTTTTTATTGCTGCTTCCTTGAATATATCATTCCTCCAATCGTGTATGGGCTATTTTTGTTATTCCGACAAATTTGTTTTGTTTTACATTCTGAAAGTCGTTTGGTGTCAATTAAAGCGAATTCTAAGGTTCTAAACTTTGGGTCATCTCCCTACTCATAGCACGAAAAAACGGCTCTAGTCGGAAAAGAAAAAGATAATGTTTTTTATTTTTTCAAATATCTGTGGTAGGAACTTTTCAAGTTATCTGCAGAGCCACCTGCTACTCAGTTTTTTTTTTCAAAATTTCTGAGCGTTATAACACAAATGGATGGTCGTCGAGTAAACATTTTTCAATTGAAAACTTTGTTTAATTGTTCTATCAATATATTTATGATTCCAATGACTATCTTTCGCACTAAAAAGCCTTCTCGTTTTCAGGCATGACTTGCAGTCTAATATGAACATCTGTTCTTGTTTATTGTTCCGGCCTTTAAAAAACGGAGAGGAACTTTATATTAGGGTGTGTTTTAGTTTTTTTCTTTTTTTGTTTTGGACTGGAATGAGTGATATATCATATTGAAGCCAGTTCGGCTGTGATTCGAACGACAAAAAGTCCATAAATTTTTCACAGTGTGATAAAATTTTCGTTGTCTATTTTCGAGCTCGTAAATTGAGCGATCAGGCTTATAAAAGGATAGTTGTCGCAGATTAGTAGTAAATGAGCCGTGAAGTATTTGCTCAAGCCCTGAAAAATCTAGAAAAATAAATTTTGTTTTGTTAATTTTTTTTGTTTTTGTAATTAGTCATTTTCGAAGATAACAACTTTCCAAAATGCTTATTCTACTATGAACATCGGAAATGCTTAAAATTTAGTCTTTCATTCAGATCCTTTCATTACACTTGCACAAACAAATTGAAATTAAAAAAAAAACTTTTTCTTTGTAATTTTTAAGAATATGGTTGGAACATTCTGTCATACTTGCACAGCAACCGGTTTAGGTTATAATCCAAAGTATATATACATAAAATGATAGCTGTGATCGGAACATTCTGTGCTAATTGTGCGACAATTATGTATATTGATTTAGCGTTGGCTTTAATTTGAATAATGCTACAGATTTAAATTATCCGGACAACGAATTAAACTTGGAAAATTAAAACGCGCTTTTTTCAAAGTTGGTTGACTTTGGACAAAAAAAGATGAAGACGTAACTTGCTTCCAATTTTAGCAGAAATATTATGGTGAAATTTATTTTACAAAATTTGTTCACAATTTTTTTCCCCAAAAGTGGAACATTTTTGGCTTTTTCGTCAATAAAAAATTACGCCAAAACTACTAGTTTAATTGCTGACAAAATTATATCAAATTCAATCTCTTATGTAGCCCAAGAAAGTTTGAGAAGAGAATAATGTTGGCAATTTCCTATAAATAATTCTATTTTTGTTTCATAGCCAAAAAGACTATAAAAGACTAATTTTTTTATTTAAAACATTTTTTAAGTTTTTGCGCAAATTTGTTATACCCTTTCTACACCCTTCCTACCAACAATTGAAACAGTACTTATGATGTAATTTTGATTAATTAAAAAACCAATTATTATTAGTTTTTGAGGTAAAATTTTGGTCGAGAATATCGCCAAATTAATTGCACTACATTGTTTATGCTTAAGTTCTAAGCTCGTTTTTTGCATCAACTTTTTGCATCTAAAGTCAACCCAATTGCAGAAATACGTTTTAAACTTCAAGTTTTGTTTTGCCCAGCATTGTTTTAAGTCGCAACTGAGTTTGCTTGGGTTATTTTTGCTACTCTTTGGACAAAAACCGGCTTTTTCTTCTGAAAACAAACCGTGCACGTTTTTCTGTGTAAAATCTATATATTCTAGAGGCTCAAAAGAAGAAGATCGAGAACCTCCAATTTACGCTGGAATCATCAAGCCCAACCGAACGCTGAAGAATTTCTCTGGCGAGCAGTTAATTCAGTTTATACACAAACCACTGAACAGAGGCACGAATATAGATGGCTCTAAGCTCAGCTTCAGCTTCGTATTTGTGGACTCACTGTCGCGGACTGGCGCTTATCAGTAAGGCTGATTTTATATTTTTTTAGCGACGATTTTCTCTGTAGATACGTTTAAGAGCTCATTGATGCCAAACACTGTCAAAATATATATATATATATATATATTCAGTTTTAAATAAGTACTGTATTTTTTTTCGTCAGAATTAATAATGTTTATCTGTATAGTTAGAAAAATGTGAAATTTTTTTAGACGTAAAAAAGCGTATTTAAAATGAAAACAATTTACGGTACTACTATGATAGAGGTCACTTGAAAATAACCAGGACCCTTGACACCTAGAGCTCTCAAATTGTTTAAAAATTATGATTTTACCATTCAGAAAGATGTCGCAGTTTAATTTTGCGTTTTGTTACTTCGTAAAACATCACCTCTCACTATTTTAAGGTGGAAAATTCGAAAAAACCCGTCAACATTGAGTTTTGATGACAAATAATTCAACGCAGTTATGGTCGTTAAACCGTAAAATAAGTTGAAGCGAGCATATTTTTTTTGATAAAAACAAGATAATTACAACTATTAATCTGAACGTTTTCGAAATGAATAATTTATACACGAATTAGTTTTCAAATTTATAGCATGCGAAATGCATGCGGGACCTGTCTATCACAGTTGCTTTTTCGTGGGACCACTCAATCATAGTACAGTGCTGATTTAAATTAACCGGACAAAACGCGTTAAACTTAAATTTAAAACCCGTTTTTCTCAAATTGGGTTGAGTTTAGGTGAAAATTTATGAAAACAAAACTTGCTTAGAATTTTAGCAGAATTATTATGGTGTAATTTGTTTTTGCGAAATTCGGGTCCGAAATTTTACCCCAAAAATGGGTCATTTTGGCTTTTCTTAGCTAATCAAAAATTACACCAAAAATACCCAGTCGATCACAGACATAATTATATCAAAGTGAGCCCCTTACGTAGCCCAATAAACTTTAAGAAGGGTGTTTTCTCCAAAAAAAATTGCATATTGTTTAAAAATTGTTTTGAAATAAAAAGTTCGTATTTTATATAGTAAAAGTGACCTTTTTTGCCTATCAAACAAAAATAAATTAACTTACACAATTTTTTGGAGATTATACCCTTCATAAAGTTTGTTGGGCTACGTAAGGGGCTCACTTTGATATAATTATGTCTGTGATCGACTGGGTATTTTTGGTGTAATTTTTGATTAGCTAAGAAAAGCCAAAATGACCCATTTTTGGGGTAAAATTTCGGACCCGAATTTCGCAAAACAAATTACACCATATTAATTCTGTTAAAATTTTAAGCAAGTTTTCTCCTCATAAATTTTCACCTAAACTCAACCCAATTTGAGAAAAACGGGTTTTAAATTTCAAGCTTAACGCGTTTTGTCCGGTTAATTTAAATCAGCACTGTAGTACCGAGTTTTGACATAATATTACAGTATAATCAGGGGCAGAACAGCGGTTCTCTGTAAATAGCCGAGCAGCTTGTCAGCTGATAGTTTCACCAGCGAATAGGAAGAATGATCTAAATTTGAAGCATAAAAAGCCGAGGTGATGCAATTTGGTTATACAAATCATTGATTTTTATTAAAAGTAATGAACGTAGTCTTGATGTTTTTTTTTTGTTTTTCAGGAAAAAGTCTCAATATTTGTTTACGCCTAGTTTTGATTTTTCGCGGTTTGACTTGTGGCTCTTTTTAAGTTTAGTGCATTTCAATTTTTAAAAGGAAGGCAAACTCCACTCGAACAGCAAAAGTCCAAAAACGTGATCGACTTCTTGTTTCGAAAGTGGAATTTAATTATCAGATTTCCCAGCGAATTACAATATCTACGTATTGATCCAGTTTTCTCAAATTGGGTTAATTTCATGAAAAAATTGTCAATCATAAATTATTCAAGAAATTCATTAGACGGCAATGTTTTTTTTTTCTTCGAAATTCGAAGGCTGAGATTTTTTCAAAAAACAAGTCAGTTTTTTTTGTTTCTTTGCGTTCATTACTCTTTTCTAACTGTCAGTTGGCTATTTTTCAAAATGCCGCTTATTAGCAACTACACCTCCATTGATCATGATGATCACATTTGCTTACAAAATTTTGGCTATGTTTCAAAATTTAGGTCGATGCCAAGAACTATTGACTTCCTCAAATCACTCAACAAGAGAACACCAGAACGTGCATTAGACTACAAGCTGATGCATGCCATATTTCCAGGCACTTACTGGAACCTCGAAAACCATTGGATGGGTGATAGTGCCCAGAGTCTGATTAAAGATGAGTTCTACTACTTCGAGTTCAAAATCATGTCTCAGCCGTTCCAGAAGCAAGGCTACGCTGCTGCGTATTTGCACGATACTTGCTACCATTGGCCCTGGAGAACGGAAGCTCGACTGAGCAAACCTAACCGACTGGAGATGTATTACAAGGAGTTCAATAGAAGTGGTTTGAATACTACAGGGATAACATTGGCCACCTGTGAGATACTGAAAAGGTCCACAGGAGAGTTCAAAGCGTTCACTTCCAAAGATGTCTGTCAGAATGGAGACTATGAGGTTTGTGGTTTGATTTTTCTGATTGAGTGTAAAAGAACGAATAAATTGTCGTTTATGTACGTCGTGATTGTTTTTTTACGGAAAATGCCGTAAATTGTGTTCATGCTCAAATTTGATTTTCGCAGTTTGAATTTTGATTTCTCGTTAAGTTGAGTTCATTTCCTAGTTGCCCAGAATTATGTCATTTACATAGTCTGCAAATTGTTTTTTATTTTGTTTCAAGATTTCTAAAATTCGAATCATCACTAGTTTTATTTTGACTGTGGTGCTTAGGTAATGTACCGATTGGACAATATGTACAACATACAGAGGAACTGGCTGGATCACGACTACCCGTTCGTCACATTCAACGAAATGAACATTAACCACAACGGGGATGGAACGAACGTACTCCATTTAGACCTGCATCTGAAGAATTACCTCGAGAAGATATCAAAAGAACCCAATGTATTGACCATGGTTTTCTCAGATCACGGCAACCGATTTGACCCAGCATACATGCAAGATAATTTCCCTGAGGGGCAGACAGATGTTATGCATCCGTTTCTGTTCATGGTTTTGCCAGAGAATCCAGAACGGTTTTTTGAGCCAGATGAACTAGAAGCGATGAAAATTAACCAGAATCGGCTGATAACGCCAAGAGACGTGCATTACATAGCGAGAAAATTCCGAGATCCGAACACTCGGCTGAATGAAAAACGAGGACTGTTGGCGGTTATAAGTAAAAACAGAACTTGTGCGAATTTAACATTCACGAAAGGGAACTTTTTCTGCATCTGCGAACCAGCCATTAACGAGTCTTTCAATATGGAGGATAAAGACATAGAGGTTGTTGTAAACTACTCGCGTGCCCACTTGAATACACAGAGAAATACAGTACACTGTCAATACATGGACTTGGCTCGCTGGGGAAACAAACCGTTCAAACTATTTCCGAATAAGACGAGGAATGAGCCGTCCATTATCAAAGGTGAAATACATAGTTTATTTTTCCAGAAATTAGTTGTTTCGTCCGATACATGCGTTAAAATTTATTTAGAGTCACTAACGTAGTGAATAATTTTATATAGGTTTTCGTGATTATTGTTTTTTTTTCAGGAAAAAATCATGAAATTTGTTCACGTTAAAGGTTTGTTTTTTGATTACGGCTGCGATAAGCAAGCGATATCAAACTGGAATAGAGACTTTTTCGGCTTAACAACTTATTTAACAAAATCACTTGAATCACTAGGCTTCGTTCACATGCACACGTGCAAATTTAAGTTCTATAGGTCTATTGTTACTACTGACAGTTCTTTTAAGAAGTAATGTCTTAAGTTTTTGAAGACAAAATATTCCGTTTCAAAAAATTTTTCGGAATATCGTTAGTCTGATTATGTTTTGTCGGCTTTGTTGCCGCATCACGGAGTATTCTTGTTTTACATCAAAATCGACTTTTATTAGTTTTTAGACACATTATTTTTGAGCGAAATACTACGCCTGAGGTGGTAAAGGTCCTGTGTTTCAACCAGTTCAGAACTTTTTTATTCAGAAGGGAAATATTCTCTTTGTAAAAATTGTCCAAGTGTGTCTGCTGATGTTTGGTCGGATTATTTGCCTTAATACGGATTTTTGCTGGACTGTAAGTAATTTTTATTGGAGTTTTGATTTGTTACTGTAATTTGTAAGCTTACTAAGTTTGTAATTTTTTTCGTTTTGTTTTTTTTCGCTAGTTTATTTGGCTTCAAATGTTTTGGCTTATTTTTATCGAGTAAAAGTCCTAGTTAAGCGTTGTTTTATGAGGAAAAATAGATTTTTACGCGTTTGTGTGTTTCCGGAGGGGGAGCGTAAAAAATAAGATTTGCGGAACTTTCAAAAGTTTTTCATTTAAAACAATTTTGCTCGAAGCGAGTCTAACCAACTTTTGCCGTCTTAGTTGCCGATCATTTTTTGTGCCTGAAAATGTATTAAACGCCAGCTATTATGTTTTTAAGTTGAACACCATTCCAGAGAAATTTCTGAAATTTTTGTAGTTATAGTTTTCTCGAAATGTTCTAATTGTTTTTCGACTTAGTGGCTTTTGTTTCTTTGTCTGCTAGCATGTGATGTTATGTGTGTTTGGTATCGCAAGTGGTGCGAAGCTTCGATTTGCCTAGGTGTTTATGAGTTCACCTTGTTTCCTTTGTTAGTGGAGGCAAACTCCACTATAGAACAGCAAATGTGTAAAGGTATGAAAAACGTGATCGACTTCTAATTTCGACATTGAATTTTTATTTTCAGATTTTTCAGCAGAATCCAAAATTTACCTAGTGATCCAGTTTTCTCAAATTGGGTTAATTATATCAAAAAGTATCAATCATTAATTTTCCTTGAAACTCGAAGAGCTTTAAGGCCATATTTTTGTTTTTCAAATTCGTAAGTTGAAGTCAGTATTTTTTCCTGTTTCCCTGCCTTCATAATTCTTTTCCAACTGTCTCTGTCTGTGGGCGATGCTTTTTAAGTGAATGAATGAATTGAAATTATTCTAACTTAGGAGACTTTTTGTTTGTTTGTAAAATGTTGTTCTGACTTTATATAGGTCGTGATGTTTTTTGTCGGTTTTTTTTTCAGGAAAAGTCTTAAAATAGTTCAGGCTCAAATTTGATTTTTGGTGTTTACACAAGCAAAGCTTGTGTTATAGTATGAACTATATATTTTTTCCAACCTAAGTCGTAAATATTGTTGCGACGCAAATATTGTTGCGATAAAATATGTTTATTTTGAAAGTGTTCATTTTGATCAATAACCAGCTATTAAGTACAGCCAATGCCAAGGATATTAACACAGACTATTAGTGTCCCGACGTTCGTAACGAAATTAACGTTTCAGACAAATTTCGATTTTTTAACTAGCCATTTTGAGGGGATTTTTTTTTTATATCATTCAAAAAGTATCGTTGTCCTGATCTTGAATTTTGAAAATTTTTCTACCTGTGATTATATGGGGGTTTACAAATTGCCATTTTGGCCAATTTGGGACAATTAGCGCGCGATATAATTCGCGCTTTTAACGCGTAAGCGGAGATTTAATCCGTCGTAGAAATCGTTCCAAATTGGTTGAAGGAAGCGAATTTGCCATAATTGATTTGTCACTAGGAGCGAAATTTATCACTTTGTATTTAATATGGCATGTGGGGGGATGATTTTCACAAAAAATCTCATTTTTAAAAATTATTACTGCTCCATAGACGCTCTATAAATGGAGGCATGTTACTTGGTAAATTTCTTTTTTGTTTTTTCAAATTGACAGGTGCTGCTAATGCGTCATAATTGGCGTGCGTCACTTGAGAAATTTTGTTGACTCAAAGTTTCACTCATTCAGTTTTTCCCAGTTCCGAGTTATCGGCCTGTGTTGTATTTACTTTATTTTAATATTTAGGGGCATGAAACTCAAAGAGCTTTACTCTATATCTATACTTAAGTCTCAAGGAGTTCAGCAGACATGGCGATAACATAGAACGTAAAGATGAAGTTTTATACCCACCGCGGTTCTTGCTTGACTAAAATTAAAATATGGTTCTCAAACATTACCAAATTTATATTTTGTATCCAATAAAACATAATTCAAGTTTTTAAAGAGCGTAGCGTACTGCCGTGTTATGGTATCCATTTTTTCCTACCTAAAACACAAATAAAGGTGCCCATTGTTTGGTGGCGTATTTCCATTTTTTTGTCTGCTTAACTTTTGTTGCTCCATAGACCTATTTTTTTTGTATCTGGTTTATTGATGGAATGTATGCGATTTGCATTTGAATGGTTAGTTTTTGAGACGCTCATGAACTTTTTTGCACTGTCATAAAAAAGTGGTACAAATGGAGAGACGAGCTAGTCGCGTGTAACTAGATATTACGCTAGTGTCTTTTTGCTTCACCGGACGTTTTACGATCTCCGGAGGATTTTTGACCCATTTTCTAGATCTTTTTCTTGAAAGCTACCATTATAATCTGAGATAAGGGTGCAATTAAAAGATCGTGCTCTGAGGATCTCCCATGCACAAGCTGCTACGCAAAAATTTTGGTAGAAAAAGAATTTTGACCTAAGAAAATGTCCAAAGTTAGAATCTTTGACAGTTTTTTGGAAGCTTTTTCCATTTCTTGTAAACTACTCTGCCAAATTTGAGGTTAATGGTTTAATCGGAAAATTACAGTCTACGCTGCACAAGAGATGTCGCGCTAATTTCTTAATGAAAAAAGTTATCGCTTGAAACATGTACAATTTTCGAAGTTTAGACCGTTTTTCGGAGACTGTTGTCGAAAATCTGAGATAAAGGGTTCAATCGAAAGAACAGGTGCTAGGATTTGTCTCTGCATAGTGGATTTGCCCTAGTTTTTGTTTAAAAGCAGCGTTGAACGAAGGAAAATTCCATATTTCGAATAGTTAACCGTTTTGGACATTTTTTGATTTTCTCGAAAATTACAGTGCCAAATCTGAGCCGACTAAGAGTAAGTTAAAAGATCCTCTTATTAGCGTCTGCGCCCTAGTTTTTGTAGAGAGCAGTGTTTGTGTTAGGTGACAAATTTGAGGGCTCAATCGAACAAGGTTAATCTGTAAGGGTAGCACCTGTGAATTTTGGTAAGGAATCCGCTATAGACTTATTTGACCTTGCGGTTATCGTTTAATTTCCTAAAAACGACCGTGCCAATTCTGAAAACAACGATAAATCAAAAGGAGACGTAATCTCCCCTGCAAAAGTGTTTTCTTCGTATAAGAATCAGCTATGGACTTGGTAAATGTCCGGTTTTTGACATTTTGAAAAATACAGAAGTGTGCCAAAAACATTTTCTGGTTACAAAAACGGTTAATTTACCGTTAACGGATTAAATTAATATCCCAACCCTATTGATTAAATAAGTTTTAGCCAGTGCAATTCTCAACTTGGAATAAAATTGTGCAGCGCTGCATGTAAAAATTATTTCGTTCTGAGAGGCTGAAACTTCACCTTAATGCCATCTAGAATATTTATCCGCCTCAATCGCTGTAGGGGAGGTTATGAACTGATGTATGCAATATTTCAGTTTATATATAATCCAGCTCTATAAAAGATAGCCATGATCAGTTTTACTAGTTTAAGTTTTATCACAAAAACTTCACTCGTTAAAAGTAAATGATCTCGAATCAGCTTTAGCGCTAGTTCTTAGATAGATGAGATAGGGATGCATCTAGTATATTTTTGTGTGTAGCGAAGTTTCCTGGTTTGATTAACTTATCGGTAATAAATTGGGTAATTGTATCCTAACCATTTGTCAAATTTTTTGAGGTATTATTGTTTTGCTTTATAGGCTACCTCTTCGACGTTCGATGAGAAAAACGTGATTTTCTCAATTGAGTTTATGAAAGATATGGCAGTAGAAAGCTTAGATTCAACTCATTCCTGCATCTCGACAATTATAGAAAATATCAGGACTTTGCACCATCGAACATAGATGTAAAAGTATGTCTTCGTAAAAAAAGTAGTGATTGTTGATCTGAATGTGAATATTTCGCGAAGAATTTGTATTCATCTCGCGAAAATGCGAAAAGTAGCTGTACTTTATTGCTTTAAAATTCTTTGAATGATTAAATTATTTCCGAAAATGATTATTTAAACCTTTTTTTGCATGTTTGCTTATTACACTTGCGACATTGCAATCGGGTACAAGACTTTTCCCCGTAAATAAGTTTGTTTCCAGCATTCAACACTTTGATTGAGCAGAACCGCAAAAAAATTGAGCGTGTTTGCATTTCGTATATATATTTATATTTTTTTAAGAGTGATGAACGTAGTGAGTACTCTTTAGATCTTGCTGATTTTTGTTTGTTTTTTTTTTAGTAAAAAGTCTTACATTTTCATTTAATTTCATAAAACGCGCAATTTCATTTTTTCGCGGTTTGACTTGATTTCTTTTTAAGTTCAAAGTTCTTTTCTTTTAAATTTAAGTTTTTTTCTTTTATTGTTAACCAAATGCAAACTCCA